GAAACTTAAACCAACCAATACTGTGCCTGGGATCTCTTAATTGAGATGGCACCTTGAACCTTCAGTATACTGCATGAGTTTTCTGCTGCCAATCCATCGCTCTTCCCCTTCATTCAGTTACAATTTCCAGAGAAGGAGAAGCAAAAGTGTATTATTAGCAAGTTGTGCTAATAGCACTGGCCCCTCAAACTGGGACCAGATGCTAAATATTATGTTCTAAGTGGCATGTGGTGTTTGGCTTTGTAGTTTGAGCTGTAAAGTTAGTCACGCGGGATCCTTGGGTGTCCCCATGTATAAATTGTTTTATATTATGCTTTTATTGTATTTTATTGCACATTTGTGCCTTATGGTTGTAAGCCGCCCTGAGCCCGCATGCGGGGAGGGCGGGGTATAAATGAAATTAAATAAATAAATAAATAAAAGGCAATGTTGTGTATTGAAATGGACGAAGGGATTAGCAGATGGATTGTTGGTGCCTGGTTCTGATAATGATTTGCAATAATTCACAGGTGGCTGTCTTTTTATTTGCTGATCTAAATGAGAAAACATTGCTTGCTGCCCTGCATCATGTTGTAAAGATTAAGATGGATATAGTTATAAAGACAAATTCTGCTGTTGCATGCTAGCAATTAATCCTTTAGAATATTTAAGAAAGCCTAAGGCTGTTGGCAGATGAGATGTCTTTGCAGCATAAGATTGGGGTAGAGAAATGTCAGCCTATTTCTTGCTCCATTGTAAAAGGCTGAAGCTCTTCCTTTGCTCAAGAAAGAAGTCAGTATATTAAATATTCTTCATTGAGCTCTCTGTTCCCTAGTAACTGACCCTATTGCTAAACTGCTAACACTTCCACATTAAGCAGATTTATACCCTTCTAAGCCCATAACACATTACTGTCAGAAAATAATGAAAACTTGAAACTACTACTGCTGAAGGTTAAAGCAGAAAGTTCTGAAGCAGGATTGTAGCTGAACGTCAAGAAGAAAAAAGTAATGACTCCTGGGAAATTACACAACTTCAAGGTTGACAGAGAAGGAACTGAAGTTGTCCCAAGATTTTGTATTCCTTGGCTCCATCATTAACCAAAAGGGAGAATGCAACCAAGAAATCAGAAGGAGTTTGAGTCTGGGAAGGGCAGTCATGAAGGAGCTGGAAAAGGTTCTTAAGTGTAGGGGTGTGCCACTGGTGACCAAGATCAAGTTAATTCATGCCATGGTATTCCCCCCCAGTACTATATATGGGTGTGAAAGCTGGACAATGAAGACAGCTGACAGGAAGAAAGTTGATTCATTTGAAATGTGGTGTTGGAGAAGAGTTTTATGGATACCGTGGACCACCAAAAAGACAAATAAGAGGGTTCTAGACCAAATCAAACCTGCCCTCTTGCTAGAAGCTAAAGTGATTACACTGAGGCTATGATGGACAATCAAGGGTTAATGCCTCAGAGTCTGAAAACCTTTGAGTGACAGGCTGTTCAAATGGAATTCTGTGGAAAGCATCAGCTAAGAAATGGCATTTTGGAACTGACAGTTGAGGAAGCAATAGTTTAGCACTGACTGAGAACTGGGAAGGAGGAAAAGAGGAGTGAGATCACAGAAGATCTCCATTCAAGCCGAAAAGGGACAGAGCTTCTAGTGAAGAGAAGTAATCCCTGCCCAGTGAAAAGGGAAATAGTTTTTGAAAGAGGAATGATCCCTGATAAATACACAGATTTTGGAACTTGGTTATATGTTCCTGCCTTCTAAACATGAAGTGTCAGTGAAACTCAGAAACCTATGCTTGTGAGTTAAACTAGAAATTGAAAAGAAAGCCTCTCTCCTCAGATTTTCAAAGACTTTGTTGAAAAGCAAAAACATATACATGTTGGCAAAATATTATCTGTATTTAGTGTGATTACAAAGTTAACTCAGTTTTTATTATTGGCTCACCTCATATATCCTATTTCATACATCCTATGATTCCACCTGACTACCAGTCTGGTGTAGTGGTTAAGAGCGGCTGACTCTAATCTGGAGAACTGGGTTTGATTTCCCACTCCTCCACATAAAACCAGCTGGGTGACCTTGGGTCAGTCACAGTTCTCTCAGAGCTGTTCTCTCACGAGCAGTTCTCAGAACTCTCTCAGCCCCACCTACCTCACAGGGTGTCTGTTGTGGGGAGAGGAAGGGAAAGTGACTGTAAGCTGCTCCAAGGCTACTTTGGGTAGTGAAAGGTGGGATATAAAACCAACTTTTCTTTCCTCTCAAAGTTAAAACATTTTATTTTGAACTTCCAAAAGCCTCTCATGTACTATTACAGGAGTAGAAGATGGAAGGTGATTTTGTCTCTACCCTCAAGTCCCTGGGCCAGCATCAAAATATATAATAAGGTGAATTTGGGACAGCCATAGACCAATTAATAAGAAGAAAATAGATATAGGGGCTGATCAGGAGAAAGAAAAAACAAAAGGAAAGTCCTGTGTGTGTGTGAGGGAGGGAGGGAGGAGAGCGAGACATCTATAGAGGCCATCATACTTTGGTCACATTATGAGAAGACAAGAGTTACAGGAAAAGGCTATAATGCTAGGAAAAGTTGAAGGCAGCAGGAAAGGAGGAAGACCTAACTTTAGATGGATTGACTTCAAGCCGTTGCCCTCAGTTTGGAAGATCTTAGCAAGGCTGTTCATGACAGGGTGTTTTGGAGAACATTAATTCATAGGATCACCATGAAAGTGACTTGACGGCACTTAATGCATAGACACACATACACAAACCCATAGACTTTAGTGGACTTAGGAGGGTATAACTCTGCTTAGGATGACACTGTTGGGCGTGTTTCATACATAAAAAAAACATGGGTTGCTGTTATGGGAACATGCATAGGACATGTTCTGGCTCATGTGTTCCCTGTCTCATTTACTTTCACATAACTGAAAAACTGTACTTTTGTGACACACTATAATTTGTCATTTTTGCTGATTAAACCTAGTTTGACCCCTGTTTGGAAGGCAGAATCAAACCACAGCTTGTAATTTAAATGAAAAGGCAAAACTATAGTTTGCCACAAAAGCGTTTAATTATTTCACCGTATGGTAGGGAAATATAAGCCCAAGGATTCCCCAGGCTTGCTTCTGTATTGGCAAACTATGATATGCCATTAATTGTGAATTTTTCCTATAGCTTGGAATAAAGTATGTATCTTGAGAGAGACTCAGAGTCTTGAGAGATGTGACCATTCACTTAACATTTTCCCACAAAGCAAACTACAAAGGCTGGTACTAGCATTCTTAATACGAAATGTTTAGCTCTCAGTTGAGGGCAAAAGGAATCCCTGAATTGGATACTGTTTCTGATTTTCTTCCAGTCTGATCTGGAAAAGATTATTGTTAACACATTCTAAGCAATTGTTCATTAAATCACCTGCATGTAGATGCCTTGAACCCATTTGGAGGTAGAGGGGGTAGTGGGTTTGGTGTAGTGGTTAAGTGCATGGACTCTAATCTGGGAAAACCGGGTTTGATTTCCCACTCCTCCACTTGCAGCTACTTGATGACCTTGGGCAAGTCATAGTTCTGTCAGAGATGTTTTTGAAACAGCAGTTTTCTCAGAGCTCTCTCAGCCCACCTACCTCACCAGCTGTCTGTTGTGCCACTAATAAGGTTCAGTTAACACATTCAGTCTGTCACAAGATTGCTGTTATAAATTCAGATTCATGCGTACAGTTTCATTTGGCAAATTCTTTGCTGCAGCTGCAGGAAACACCCCCTTTATACCATTTCATACTTCCTTTTGCAGGACCTAAAAGAAAGAGATGGCAGTCCCATGTTTCAAATTATCATAATCTAATGGGGAATCTCCCCACGCTCCTACCGCTTTTTTTGTGAAGCCACATATGTGCAGTTATATTCCAAAAAGCAACAAAACCAAGACTTTGGTCTTGAGAGCAACAGAATGTATTCCTTTATAATTATGCACAATGTGATAGCCTGTTCATTGAGAAAGAGGTATTCACCTTAAGAGGTCTCTTCCAACATTTTCAAAATAAAAGACTGCACAGTCTTCTCAGTCATACTGGTTTTTTAAAAAAATTAAGTTACAATAAAATAATGCCATCTTAGTATTATAGTTATAGGATTATGACTTTCTACCTTTAATAATTTATGATACTAAAAAGTTTTATATTGCTACAGCTTCATTTTTTAAAAAATGGTCAGTTGCATGGAAATGTAAACTATATAGCAATTGAAAATGAGTATCCTCTTCCAAGAAGCCATGCTCAGAGGTTTGCTTGCTTGCAAGATATTCTGCATCTGGGAACCTCTCCAGGCTTGCAACATTTCCTGGCTTTTTTCATGAATCAGGAGAAATATGTGCTGCCAAACCACAAGCCTCTCTCGTGTGACCCTGATGACTCTCTTCCTCCTACGCTCTTACCCTAGTACTGTTTGATCCTTGGCAAAATTTGTAAGATAATGCTACTATTGAAAGTTATGGAATCTTAGTGTATCTTAGGAGATGGTCTAAGATAAGATACTTCTACCCATGTGGATGACTTATTTTCTAGGTCTGTATTAATGGCCTTGTATTCTGAATTTTCTTGTGACAGCTTGATAGTGCTATAGTAATCATCAGTGTTTGAATAGCCCTATTATGTATGCCACATGATATGAATAAAAATGGCTAACATAGTTCTTCCTAGAATTTTATTCCCTTGAAGGGTTTTCTTTCTGAATAGACCTTGTGATAGTCATGACATTTACAACTTTTGAAATATATAAGTAATATTCTGATTTCTGACTTCATTTTTTTATTATATATTGTAGAATTTTGCTGGTGCTATCTGTTTCTTAGGTGACATGGTTTGAAATTGTTTTGAACTAAAAGCAGACAAAGAGAATGAAATTGGTCAGCTTGAGATAACTCACTCTTAATGTTTTGTAGCCATTTTATAGTCCATTGTAGATTATTTCCTTTATTCTGAATTTTAAGTGTCTTAATTAGCTTGTTTTCTTTTTCCCCACACAGCCCCATGATTTTGATGAGTGCAGATTTGACATTAGTGTAAATGATAGTGTTTGGTACCTGCGGGCTCAAGATCCAGATCATAGACAGCAATGGATAGATGCAATTGAACAGCACAAGGTATGGTTTCTGTTTCTTAGCAATTAATAATGGTACATGATTATGGACAATTCTCCAGGGTACTGGTTAACAGCTTGAGTACTATTTCTTATGGAAGGCAGGTGCTAGTGTGCTCAAGCACTCGCAATGGCACTAATACCTTTGTCTGTTTTACCATTTTTTCCCTGTTTTTTGCTGTGAAGTCACAGCTGATTTATGGCAACCCTGTAGGGTTTTCAAGGCAAGAGACATTCAGAGGTGGCTTGCCATTGCCTGCCTCTGCATAGCAACCCTGGACTTCCTTGGTTGTCTGCCATCCAAATACTAACCAGGCCATCCTTGCTTAGCTTCTGAAATCTGATGAGATTGGCTATCCAGGTCAGGGCCTTTTTTACATGCTGTTATACGAATGAATGAAATAAAGATTTGTGAAAGGTTTTGCTCTTGATAAATGCAAAAAAAAAACCTGTAAACCATAATGAAAAGCTATGCAGTGTCAGAAATCTACATCTGGCTAAAGATAATAGAGCTATACTGTAACAGAATAGCTCAGGAAGGCACTTTATAAAAGGAAAGGGACTGTGGATTATACCACTTTGTGTAGGGCATGCTATCAGTCTGCTGCATTTATAGCCTTTTGCTGTTTCATTGTTTTCTACTGATGCAGTACCATTTTCTTCACTGTATCAACACTCTGTATCATGCCTAATATGCTATGTTCACTTAGGTTTTGGTAATGTCAGTCCTAGTACACTGCTCCTTTGATGTGTCTTTATATTGATTGTATCAGCCCACACTGCTTATTTAGGTGTCTCTTTGTATGGACTGTTATTTATTTATTGACACCATGTCATCTACTTTGAGTCTCAATGAGAAAGGCAGACTAAAAACACAGTAAAATAATAATAAAATATGTGTAAAATGACATCTTTATCTCTGATAAGTGGAGATTAAACTAGCTACTGATGGTATAGTTCAATAACAGATTGTTACAGAAGGTATTTGGGTTTAAATAGTGGTTGTTTTTGTAAAGACAATTTAGTCTAAAAGGGCTTATTGGTTTAATCTTAGCAATGTTCAGTGTTACGGAGAAGGCTCTCCTAATTTAATGAAAGGTCAGTTGTCAAAGACATTCTTAACTAAATCTTATGCTTAATTGGTTAGACGTAGTTGTATTTTTCTGACAGTCCATTTAAAACAACAATACCTTTCTGTTTTAAAATTAAAGCCACAGAGTAAATGAATCACTGAGAAATGATGTGGGTGTAGATAGGGAACACAAAAAAAGAATTTTTAAATTGCTGAACTCAAAGCAAATTTCAAAAATATAAATAAAAATGATTTTTAATGGAGAACAGGGAGGGGAAAGTAGAATGGGAAAGAGCAAACTGAACTAGGGCCAAGCTTATAATATTTTATTTATTTATTTAACCTTCAATTTGGTACCCCGCTCGAACCCCTAGCAAGGGGTCTCTGAGCGGCTTACAGATATTAGTGGTGCTAGTCACCCTTTTCCCCTAACTAGGGCCACAATGTATAGGGGATGGGGGAACCTACCAGCCCCCCCCTGTGGTGGTCGGTGTTTTTCCTTCCGTTGGCTTTTTTTTTTTTTTTTTTTTGCTTCGGCTCGGTCGGGTCTCCGGCTGGCAGGCGTCCTTTCCGGCGTTCGGTGTTTTTGGTGGTGGCTGTTCTCTTCCTCTTTCTGCACGCGATTCCGCCTGCTTCCAGCCCGGCCACGTCCTTCCGGCTCCGCAGGGCTGGTGCTGGGCGTCTGCGCACGCGCCTTCTTTCCTCCTCGGCAGCCTCGATGTATTCTTCCTAGCCACCAGGGATCGCTGGTGCGGACCTCGATCACGTCCGTCTGCCGCCGCCACGCCACCACGCCGTCTGCTGTTTTCCCGTCTCGAGCCGGTACTCGCCGCCGCCATCATCGCCGCCGCCGCCGTCGTTCTTCCAGCCGCCAGTGTCTTTGAACACCCCCACTCCTGAAATGTCACTGATCTGCAAGCACAACTCATACAGTTCCATCAGATATGTCCATAAACAAATAGCTAGGTCATAGGCTCCTCTGTAGTAGGTGCACTCCTCTGGAATAGCCTACCAAAGTGGCTTCAGAGGGTGCCTTCATTGGCTATGTTTAGGGAGACAGTTCTGTTTCAGAGGTTGTGAATTGCTTCAGCAGACTTGGTTGTGTTTTTAATCTGTCTGTTTTATCACCACACTGTTCTTATTTTGTTAATGGACTCATACATTTTGTGTCTTTGCAACGTGTCAGCTGCCTTAAGTGTTAAGGATATAAATATTTTAAATTTAAATACTGAATGGAATATTTAGTATTCCATTACTGAATATGGAAGAAAATGACAGAATATACCAAACTACCTACAAATTAAAGGGCTGTTATTGCCTTGTTATGGAGCTGCGGTGGCTCAAGTGGTTAAGACGCTGAACTGCAGGCTGTGGAAGGCCGGTAGATCAGCAGTTTGAGACCCAAGTGTGCCGCATGACGGAGTGAGTTCCCGTCTCTAGTTCCAGCTCCTGCCAACCTAGCAGTTCAAAAGCAAGAAATTGCAAGTAGATAAATAGGTACCACTTCGGTGGGAAGATAACAGCATTCTGTGCACCTTGGTGTTTAGTCATGCCGGCCACATGACCACGGAAATGTCTTCGGACAGTGTTGGCTCTTCGGCTTTCAAACGGAGATGAGTACCGCAACCCTAGAGTCAGATTTGACTGGCTTTCGAGCAAGGGAACCTTTACCTTTACTTTATTGCCTTGTTATTGACTGTGCTTTTTGTATAAACAGAAACTTAAAATCATTTTTGCCTGTTAAAATTGGGTAAAGAGAACCCAAATAAGTATGCACTATTTAAAAATTGTGTATGTTGGTACATTTGTCAGTTTGAATAATTTTAAGTTGGGAAGGTGAATTTTCCCCCCAAAGCCATAAATTTGTTTTTGCATGCTATACAGGGTTTTGGTCTTATGGTTTTTGAAGGGCAGGCCAAGCCAACCATGTATCAAAACATCTCTTGAATCTCAGAAGATTTTGAAATGTTTCATTTCATATGTGCCATTCAAAAGGGAGGGGGGAGTTTCACTAGACACAGTCAAGGTCTTGGCACGGCTATAGTTCCTCTTTGGATTCTAGCTCATGAGTATACTAAGCACTGCTATAGGTTCTTCTGCTTCAATGAAGGGTAGTGTTGAGCAATAAATGTCACTGTAGCATGAATAATAAGCAGCATTAAAATGGCCTTCTAATGAATGAGTGTAACCCTGCACTGGCCTAGCTGGATCATCAGGTATAAAATACAATCTGAAAAGACATGCTGAAATACTTCCATGACTCCACAGGTTCTTGTTGTAATCCTGGGAGTTACTGCATTTTTTGGTATACCTTTTTACATAGTTGGGTAGAACAGTGTATTCTGGCAAGACCTACAGAATCTTGTACATAAGTAACCAAGAAATTACCTAACTTGGTGGTAAATCTTTCAACAAAATGCTGCTGTTAAGTGGGGGGGATGACTTTGCTACAGTCCTTGACACTGCTTTTGAAGCACATCTTCCGTAGTACAAAAAGGCTTAGCCAATTATCCATATATATGAGTGTATGAACCACTCCGAAGTAACCATTCCAAGTAAGCAAGCTGGTGCCTCAAACTTTCCATAATGAGAAGGCAAGTTGGAGGGGAGGGGCATAATCTTTTCTCAGCAATAATACCAGGACATGCTATTTTTTTCGTTAAGATACGTATTATGGATAAACCTCTAAATATGTCAGCAGATGGGGAAAATGCTGCTGTGAATCCAGAAATGGCTACTGACCATTGTGGCCCATACCTGTAAGCAGTTCTGTTCACACTAAATTTCTTCAACATATTCTTGAATGCTGGGAATTAATGGAGATAATTAAGCAGCCACCTTTGTATGTTTAAACCACATTTTATTCTTCTCAATTATTTCCTGAAGTGAAAAGCCATGCAGAGTGGAGTCATGAAGTATTTCAAGTTTTATCTTCCGGTTTGTTAAGGAAAACCTTCTTACTAGAAAGATACCCTCATTCATGCAAATATATATAGAATAATTAGAGCTACTTGTTCCTCTTCTCTGTAAATATTACAGATAACAGTAACAGGATCACTTTTTGTCTAAGTCCTGTGCTGAAATTGGCTGCTTGTACAGCATTACTGAAAAACATTAACCCAGATACCTTTGTTAGTGGTTCTGTTGATTGTGTCTCTTGAGGGGGCTTGCCACCTTTTAAAAAAGCAAAGCTCTTTGGGAAAGGGGAATTTAAAATGGAGTTGCAGCAGGACAGGAAGGGTGTACCATTGCAGATTCCCCCAAACAACTATTCTTGCCCCAGAGTTTCAGATGTGTTTCAACCAGGCTGTGCCAGAAAAGGGGTAGGACAAAGCTTCTCAGAAAGACATGCACTGTGGAGCAGGCAAAGGGTTAAACACCTCCTGCAGTTGCTTCTTGGCTCTCAATCCTCTCTTTGGAAAGGCTATTTTGTTGTTTCTTTAGGGTAACTGGAGCTCTGTTACACATGAGTGCAATGTGATTTCAGCCCCTTAAAGGTGTGTCCAAAAGACTCATGACTGCATAGTGAGGTGGGGGGATTTTAGTGCATGAACCCTATGAGAAATTATTATTTTTCTCAGCTGATTCTTATAGATAGGGCTATTCATGGTGGTTGCTACCAACACTAGAGAGTTTCTAATTGCTGTTGAAATAAATACATTCTTGTTATGGAAGTGCACATAACACTGGCTGAAACCGGATATGTATTTAAAGGAGTTCAGCTGTTGAAATTCTTTGTCCTTGGACCTTGAATTGAGGCAGGTAATTTTCTGATTGTACTGTATTCAGGTGTGTATACCAGCTCTCTTTTTAATGTTCAGTTTTTAAATATCCCATATCTGTGCCTAGAACAGCTGACTTTGTCGAGTAAAGCATATTTCTAAATTTTATTTGTAATTCATTTAGCCTGTTAGTATCCAAAGTACTATACA